GCTGCACCCGCATTACCAAGCGGGGCTTGGAGCGCATCACCCAGCTGCCCTGCCTCAAGGTGCTCAACCTGGGACTTTGGGAAATGACTGAGAGCGAAAAGGTCAGGTGAGAGGAGGGGGGCGCCCCGAGACCTCCCATCTCCTCTGGAGGGACTCACTGGCTGACTGACTGACTGACTGCTGCAATGGAGGAGCTAAAAAGAGAGGGGCACGCACAGACCCATGCTACCCACGCACCCTGGCACCGGAGGGAGGAACATACAGAAAGAGAGTATATCCTTGACCCTTCTGTGCTGCTACCCACCCTTGCTCTGGAGGAGGAGGAGGAAGGGGGGAGCAGGAGGAGAGAGAGAAACCACCTGTCATTTCTCCAGGTCACGCCTCCAGCTCCAGCTCCAGCTGGGGAGACAGAACTCCCCCTTCCCCCCCAGCATCCTTCCCTGGGGAAGAGGTAGAAGCCCACACTCTTATGCACTGGGGCTAGAGACACCCCTCTTTATCCCCACTCCCTTATTCCATCCCCTCGTGCACTAAGGATGGATAAAGACAGACCCTTGTTCTGCCATGTTTTCAGAATAGATTATTTTTGGTTTATATAAAGGAGAGTGGGAATGGAGACGGGAACAAACAATAACAACAGCAGAAAAGGCTTCCTAGCTACACTTAATGTACCTGGCCACCCAGTCATCCTGTGCTGGGTACAGACACAGCTTTTGGTAAAATAACCATTCCACCTCTGCGCTTGCCCCTTCCCTGTCAGTGGGGAATTGTGACAGAAATAACTGCTCCCTAGGTACAGTTTTTTTTCTTTTTTCTTTTTTTTTTAATTATCTGTTTTCAATCTCCAGTTCCATGTTACTCTCAGCTGTGGGTGGATACAACCTCCCACTATTCCAGTTCTCCACTGCACCAAACTAGGGATAGCTACAGCCGCTCCTTTTGTCAGTATGTTTCCACATCATCCTTGCACTATGGTTAGTGGAAAAGCCTAGGCACTCCATTCTCTCTTCCTACTTCTCTATTGGAGATGAAGATACCAGATCCTCCTTCTCGTGTCTCTGGGGACTAGACATGGACCTCAGTCTCTTAAGCCTTCCTGTGCAACACTGGGGGACACTGAGAGTTACTGAGACTCGTCTTCCCTTTCATCATTCTCTTTTTCTCCCCTCCTTGGCAACCGGGACAGACATATCCAACTACATATCCATTCCTCTGGGTCGGGGGCGAGCAGGTAGAAGAGGTGGCTAGCTCCCCTCTACCCAGGGGAGTTAAGGAAGAATCTCCAGTTTCATTTCTGCTTCATTTGAGATACTGTGACCTGTTTTTATTTTGAAATGCATAAAAAAAATTACTGCTACAAAAACAGCCTCTTGCTCTCCCATCTATCCCTCGCTTACATCCTGTAACTGATCCCAGTTTTCCTCACTCATTCTGTTCTTTACAGTATTCATTTTCTTACATGGTTTTATTTTTAAAGACATTTGAAGTTGCTGTTCTTGTGGATTTTTAAGTACATTTTTTTTCTGCTGAATATATTCTATATATATAAATATATATATGATGTCTGGCTACCTCGTTTTAATTTGTTACTTTTTTTTTTTTTTTTTTTTTTTTTAAAAACCCCCCCCCCCCCACAATTTTTAATAAGGTTAAAGCATTATCTGTTGGCCCTTTTGGAAGGGACTGCTGAATTCCCATTTCCCGATTCATTTTGTTCCCTAATAGTTTTTAAAAATCAAAGTCAGAATGAAGCATTTAAGCTTACCCTACTGTGTCCCACCCTCACATTCTGGTTGTGCCTCTCCCTCCCTCTTGACTGGGGACCCAAACTGTGCTTCTGCATTTTTTACTCTTCTAGCACAAACACGTAACATGAGAATCCACGCGGAGGATTGGGCTACTATTAACAGAAATGTATAAAATGTGAGTTCATTTTTAAAAAAAATAAATATATATATAGATATATGCAAATGCTTTCCCCTCCCCTCCCAAATCACCTACAAAAGGTCACTATGCCAGGCTTCCTGTTTGTAGGTGGAGTGGAGCAGAGCTGGCCTGCAGGCCCTGAGGCTGCCATGTGAATGGGAGGAGGCTGATTTTGAAGTTCATCTGTCTTATCTCTGTTCTGTCAATAAAATGGAGCTGGGTCTTTAGATAATTTTTTTTTAATTATTTTAAAGAAGAAGAGTAAGGGTTTTTTTGGTTGTTTTTTTAAGGAAAACATCTTGGCTTTTTTTTTTTGCTCATCTTTTCAAAATTTCAAATCCTTCACAGTAACAGGCCAGACCATGGAGTTAACGCAAACCCAGAGACCCCTATGGATTAATTGTACTGTTTGTGAATTTGTATAAAAAAAATAACAAAGATCCTCTTAAAACATTTTATATTCTTACAGTAAAAGGTTAAACATATTTATATAATAAAAGAGGAAATATGAAGTATGTTTTTGAAAAAAAAAAAGCCGTATCTGTGTTGTCTGTACTTTTTAAAGACACGTCTCTACCTATTCATCTATCTGTTGGGTTGGGTAAGTATGCTCTGTGGCTCATGCTGGAGGTTTGGGGCTGTTCGCTCTTGTTCCAGCGAATGACAGAAGGAAGGAACAGAGCCTGGTGCCTCCTGCGCTGCAGTATTCTGAGTAACATCACCATGAAGGGTTTTGTAAGGAAGGGGTTTTGGTAGGACCAGCCTTGTCTGTGAGAGCACTCGCAGCATCTGTGGGGAGAAACCGAGCTGAGCTGCCCATTGGTGCAAAGCATCAGCTCAGTTCGGGGTCAGCGAACCAAGAGTGCCGAGCCTCACGAGCAAGGGAATCAAGTATTCGGTGGTAGAGTAAGGCATTTGGGAGGGGGAACAGAGGGGAGGCTATGTTTCTTAATTTTTTTTAAGCTCCAGGTAGATGGCAGAGGTTTTTGTGATTTAAATTGAGGCCAACCCTGGGTGGAAGACCCATAAAATGAAAACATTTCCCGGTTAGGACAACCACTAAAACCAGTGCCCTCACCGGCACATGAGGAGGACCTTGAAAGTCCAAAACGTCTTGGCTGGTTTCTACCACCCAGGCAAAGATTAAAGAGGAAGTGAAGTGGGAACGTGTTTTTTAAAAAAAAAAAAAAAAAGTTTGAATCATCTAAGGTGTCCTTTGTCCTATACCATAATCTTCCTCCTCAACGTATGACTTTTAACCCGACGGGGTCCCTTTTAGCCTTCCACGGTGTGGGTTTTGTATTGTCGGAGATGGAGCTTAAGCGGTGTTTATAGGGCGACGACAAAGCCCCTCTCCCCACCAACCCGGCAGGGCTCGCTCGCCCGCTGCCCCCTTCCTGCCTCGAAGGAGGGGGAATGCGAAATGGTGGAAGAAGAAGCCGGAGCCATTGTTCAGGAAAGTTAAAAGAGGAGCTGTCCTTGCTTGCTTGCTCAGTCATGCATACTCAATCTGGCCAGGCCCGGGTCCCTATGGAAAGGAGGAGGGCGATTCTTCCCCTCTTTTTAACATTCCTCTCCAGGCCTGGCTGTATTTAAGCCGCTTTCCTCCAAGCCGAGGAGGAGGGAGGGGGATGGTCTAAAGTTCCTGTACATTTGCATTTTAAGCACTTCCAGCGCTGAGCAGGCCACTTTGTTCCCCACCGTGCTACTCGGCTCAGGCGGCCCTCACTGGGCTGCTGCTCCAGGTGGGTCGGGTGCCCTACCAGAGGTCTCCTCCACCTCCGGGGCCGGCCTGCCCCGGGTGCCCAGCCTTTGCCTCTACAGGTATTTTTTCGTCAAGGCTGGACTGGGTGTACTTCTTTGTTGCCAGCTTTAACCACCTCACCCTTCTACATCAGTGCTGCACTACAAAGGGGAAAATAGCATTTGTTTTTAAAAGGGCCAGAGCCGAATGCTATCTCCTCTGCGCCCTAAGAACTGTCTCAAGATTTGGACTTTGGGGTGTGTGTTTGTTTTTTCCCCCCTTTCTTTCCAGGACTTCCAAGCTTTCTGCTGGGAGTCCATCACAAAAGCTGCATTGTTCGCTTTAGGGAAAGCCACCACAATTGGATCTAATTGAGCCTGACGCTATATCCATCTTCCTCTACTTGGAGGGAGGTGTAGGGTCTTCTCCTTCCTGCATTAAGAAAAAAGTTTACAGTAACTTCTGGACTGAAAAAAAAAGGATGTATGTTATGAATGTCACAACAGGGATTCCAGATCAGGTTCCCATTCCTGTTGAAAATGTAAATGTTCCTGGGGTAGACAGCAGTTCCAGCCAGGGATGGGGAATGATATATCTCTCATAAGGTAAGTTTATTTCTGCTGGATTTGAGTGAAAACAGCATCTCCTCACTGAGCCTCATGTTCACATGGATAATGGTGGAATATCTACATCTAAATACAACACGTGTGCTCCTAAGTTCTGTAATCAGAACTAGGACAAAATTCTGTTTCCTAAAAACACCCCAAACTGCCTCTCCCCACTTAAAAAAAAAACCAAAATCAAGCCAAAAGCATTGTCCACATAGCCTGGCGTGCTCTTTAAGGGGAACCCAAGCCAAAGGAAGCTGCTGAAACCAAAGCCTCCCTGAAGCCCGGGGTTTAGACATCCTGGGCTGTTTCCATAGCCGGAGCAAGCACTCCTCATGCCTTCCCCTCATGACCCAGCGTGACAGCACCCCTGCGGGCACAGACGCAGGCCTCCCTGTCCAGTGAGGCCAGGGCTGGGGGAACGAATGTGTTTACTAGTAAAGAGAAGGGTTTCTTAAAATAAATAATCCATTGCCAACAACCATAGACCAATTACCACATGACTCCTCAGGGTAACAAGGAAACTTCATTTTCACTCTCCAGCCACGCTTGAATTTTTGAACACAGCTCAGTTGGCAACTGGGGTAGAAAACCATAAAAAAACCCAAAACAACAAAACACACACACACAAAAAACCACACCACTATTTGGAAGTAAGCTGGAAGTCTCCTGCCTGTGTCGGCAAGCCCACAGTGCCCCAGCAGTGGCTTTTGATGCCAGCCTTTGCAGCTGCGCCCAGCAAAATCACTGCCAGATACGCCTGTTGGGGCAGCAGCATCCCTTGCCTACATCCACGCAAGCCACGGAGGATGGAGGATGAACCAGTGCCCTGCTTTATGGACTAGTGGCTCTGGAAAGCAAAGGGATCATGCTGGAGAGGTGGCAGCAGAAAGCAGAGCAGAGCAGGAGCAATGCAAAGTGGGCATGAAGGGACTGGGCAGGAGCTGAGGCAGCTGAGGACTGAGGGGCAGTGGTGGGGAATGCTGGCTCACAAGCTGTAGCGACGTCCTGCATGTGTGTGTGTGTACCCCTGCTTTGCTGCAGCAGCTGCTCCCCTGGCCAGAGCCTGTGGCTGGCTCCCCTCCCTGGGAGATGGGAAAGAAAGGGAGGGCCCACCTGGGTCCTATTGCCCTTAGACTAGCATACGGGAGGTCTGTGCATGACAGATTTATACATTTTTATACCTTCCCACTCCACGCTTCAGGTTCAACTGAATCAGTTTGTCGCGGGGATTCTGAGGTCCTTTGTTTCCCCAAATAATAAATTACAGGGTCACGGGGCAGCTGTCACACAAACCACCTGGGGCCTGTGCTGGGACAAGACGTGATCTCCACAGTAGACAGTATAGTGCTTACTACTGAGCCTGCTCTTGGCATATTAGGGAAGAGCTAAAACAAGAGCTGGGTGGTCAGGACACCCAGAGTTTTTGGAACCAAAGCTA